ACAGGGGCCTTAAGAGCCATGAATGATGATATCCAAGGGCCAGAGTGAGCTGGTTCTGCCCTTTGGTGGACATTGTGTCAAGAGCTGCCCTGACTTTCACAGGAGAGCTAGTCCCACACCTCACCATGGGCATTGGAAAACTGGGCCTGGTGGCCATGGGCATAGGTGAGCTGGCTTCGGCCCTATCCTTAGGCAGGCAGCTGATCAGCTCAGCTACCACCCAGGTCCATATTGGGGTTCTTGGCTTGGCCCATCCTAACATCTACACCATCTAAGGCCTACTGGAATGCTCGGGAATTGACTGGTCCTGGGGAACAATACCTGCAGAATCTCTGTTACTTGGGGTGACTGCAGGATATCCTAGAGGAGTTTTGTTGTGGGTCCCATGATGATAGTGTACCAGAAACTAGAGGCCATGAACAAGTTCAATGACTCATTGCAATGAAAGTTTACAAGTAAATATGTTGGACAAAAAGGTATACTGTGTGACTCACCTTATATGTAGATCGTATTAAAGTGTAATAGAAGCCCGAGTACTGCTTCTGATGACTTCAGTTGGATCCCCAGGACTCACATTGTGGAAGCAGAGAAATGACTCCTGCAAGTTGTCCTCTGACCTCTACAAGTACACTGTAGATCATGTATGGCCTTGCCAGACACACAAAATAGGCAGACAAATAAATGTAAAAAATGTAAATGGACATAACTTACCAAACACAAAACAAAAGCCAAAAATAACCGATGTTCTTATTGCTGACTGAAATAGACTCTAAAATGATTGCTTTTTTCAAGACATATATCTGAAACAAAGGCATTAAAATGTTAACTTGAACACTTAAAAAGAAGTAAACACATACCATCCAGGAACGAATTATTAGAAATCTAGAGTTATAATCTTAACGTTTAAGAAAGAACTAAAACTAAAGTGGAATAAAACAATTTTAAAACATGCAGTAATGTTATGTGTAAAATTCAGTAGGAGAATGCAAATCTTTCATACTTATATTTTCAGTCACACAGCAAAATATGGATTGAAGGAGAATTACAAGAAAGTAGTAAAAGCCGATTAATAATTGCAGATGAATGCAAAGTAGATTTCTCAATGTGACCACAATCATAGGAAAATAATTTATTAAATGAGAGGCCCTGCATAACCTAACCTCAAAGGCATATGCCCTGGGAAGACATATGGAACTCTTAAGTCTGATATAATCTTTTTTGTTGAAAGCATGGATTATTCCGTGATGGGAACTTCATTTGATGTGTAATGCAGTTTCTCCCCCTTTCCTTATCAGCATTTACAGGTTATTATTGACAGTCAGAAACAAATGAGAGAAATGTCCCCAGAGACAAGTCCATGGCCATCGTCACAGATATCACACGCAAAAGACATACATAATTTTGTAGCTCTCACTATCCTGTGTGTGGTCAGAGATGAATGTGTTTTAAACGTGGTTGTACCCCTTGAGCTCTCAGTAAACACCAGGGAGCTAGGAGAGTGAGAATGAGAGGTGTCGTGTGTGTGTGTGTGTGTGTGTGTGTGTGTGTGTCTGTGTGTCTGTGTGTCTGTGTGTGTGTGTACAGGAATTCCTTGGCAGAGGCTGGTCTGCAAAGCCTGGTTGATTGACTCTTAGACCTGCAGTGATATGGAGATGGTGGAAGTCGCAGTCCCAGGGCCTAATTACAATTTCCTTTGTGTTCTCTTGAGCCCATGAGTAGCCACTCCTTGGGCCCCCTGAGTTGGACTTACTTAACACCTTGTCACTAACAGATGACGTTGGACCTGACATTTAAAATAATCAGAATATGTCTCCTTATCAAAGCTTTAAGTTTCTACCAGTCAAAGGACTGCTTTTCATCACATAGCAGCTAGTGCCTGTAGCTGAGGTTTCTCTGCTTTACCATAACAGTCTACTTAATTATTATCACCCATGTACTTAAGGAGAGTCTATAGTTTCTTCATTCTGTGATTATAAAAACTTCATGAAACTGTTTCCACATTGTAACTTGCAATTTGTACTAACATAAACCTGTCTCACTCATGTTTACTCAGCAGATATTTGACTCCAGAATGAACTCTCTTCTTCCTTCGAGGTGAGGAGCTGTGTGTTTACATTGACATTTGTTAGTGTGTGTTTGTGTATATACTCATGCTTGTGCAAATATGGTCCCTGGATATATATGTGTGAAAGTTAGTTAATCACTTACTGCTGTGATAGGCTATGTGTTATAATTCTCCTGGTCCTCTTCAATGATGACCTGGTGTGTAGTACACTGCTTACTTATCTCCATAGTTCTTTACTCATGTGCTGACCGATATCAGTATGGCTCAACACCCATTTTCCCAAACTGTTTTCCTCTATTGCTGTTCTCTATTTCCATGCTCCATTTGTCCCAGTATGGCTAGAGGAATCCTTTTAAGATGGCATCTGTGTTCATCTGGTGCCTCTGGAGAATTTCCTGGGTCTACGCATTGTACTCTCTGAGCCCCTGTAATGGAAAGGAAGTAATGATGCTACCTACAAAGAATCATTTTCAGGGCCTGAATGGAGAGGAAACAAAACCTGTGTATTTTTGTGGTTGGCCGATTTCCCTTGCCCCCTTTGTGCTGCCCATGGAAGGGCTGGTGGCATGAAAGTAGGGGGCCTGAGTGCACACAGAGAAGGGGAGTTCTTGCCATGGGAATGGGAAATGCACAAGCTCACATTCCCAGTATGTGTCTGCAGTCACAGTTATCACTGTATATTGCCCAGGGTGGGTGAGATGACCTGGGAGGAGGAAAAAACATCATTGTGTACCTTCCATTGATGTCGTCTGCACAGACAAGCACCATCATTCCATCCCCTGGGATTTATGTGCTTCTCTCATCCTGGTTTCCTCTATTTCATGAGTTTTCTTTTCCCTTCTGCTACCTTCTAGTGTAAACATAAAGGGAAATATCTGCAACCCAGAAGCAGGAGTTTGTATGGAAGAACCCAGTGTGCTGTGATGTCTGCCAGACCGGACAGAACATTGGGACAAAAGGGTGAGTTAGATCCCTTCCCCCATCCTTATCCATTCAATATAATAACAATACCTCATCTTCTGTTCATTAGCAATCCTGAGGTTAAACATGATCCTGTGTGCATAAATGCCTTCTCATCTCAGCTGGATAGAAAGACCAAAGCACTTTGGAGTAAGTATGTTACAGCAGCTATCCAAGATCTCCCTGATAAGAGCTAGAGAGTGGAACTCAAACATTGTGATTGCCTGCGAGTCTAACCCTATTTGATATTATTGTAATTATAGCTCCTTCACAATCACCCCTTGTAAGAACAAAATCTACAATACATTTACTCTATGTCTATAGAGGACCACATCACATCACTATGCTTCCTGCTTAAAACATCACACAGAACTGAGAGATATTAAGAGGAAAATGAAATTTGTGTTTTGTTTAATCATTTTCTGCATTGATTTTATTTTTCCTTCTTCCAGATATTTCTATGTTTCCTCTATATGTAGGGATAGGTCCCGCCCCTTGGGGGGCGTGTTCGCCTCGGGCTAATGTCTGCCTATAAATTTGGCGAGCATGCTCCCAGCCATCACTTCTGCTTTCCTGGTCTCCACGGGAACGGTGCTTCTGTAAGTCTATTTCTACATTAAAGCTATAGATATATATTTTTTTACAATCTGTCTGCATTTGTTTACGCCGTTACAGATTGGCGCCCGATGTGATGGACTAAACCCACTTAAAAAACCTGAGAAGGCTTACAAATAAGGGAGAGAGAGTTTAACACAGATTTTTGCTGTTCGTTGGTGGCATGCTGTAGAGAGATTTCCTGATTCGGCAACAGTAGCAGAAAAAACGCTGTGTCATTTTAAAGTGCGACTTCCTGGGGCTGTGCCGCCATTGCGATCTCTTTCTGGCTCCTGAGGGAGACAGAGCTTTTGAATAGAGCATTTGGAGTAAAGTGCTACGATTTGTTTGATGGCAACTAGACTCGCTGTGTTCTCGGGTCTGCTCTGCTTGCTAGAGGCAAGCAAGCGCCTCATCTAAGAGAGGCTTCCTGACTCAGCTTCAGCTGCAAAACCCTGCAGCTCTTAAGAGGTCCTGCCACGAAACACTTAAATGGTGTTGACGAAAAGCTGAACGCATGCTTTTCAGTTTTCAGCCATAGCAGAAAAAAAGCTGCGCCATTTAAAAATGCGGGGAATGCAATCTTGTGCAACCACTATGGAAGTCAGTGTTTCGGTTTCTCAGGAAATTCGGGATCAACCTACCCCTGGACCCAGCAATACCACTCTTGGGAATATACCCAAGAGATGCCCTATCATATGACAAAAGCATTTGTTCAACTATGTTCATAGCAGTATTATTTGTAATAGCCAGAACCTGGAAACAACCTAGATGCCCTTCAATGGAAGAATGGATGAAGAAAGTATGGAATATCTACACATTAGAGTACTACGCTGCGGTAAAAAACAATGACTTCTCTAATTTTGCATGCAAATGGATGGAAATAGAAAACACTATCCTGAGTGAGGTATCCCAGACCCAAAAAGATGAACATGGGATATACTCACTCATAATTGGTTTCTAGCCATAAATAAGGGTCACGGAGTCTACAATAGGTGAATCTAAAGAAGCTAAGTAAGAAGGGGAACCCAAGGAAAAACATATAGTTATCCTCTTGGCTAAGGGAAGTAGACAAAATTGCCGGGGAAAAAATTGGGATCTTGGGGGTGGGGTGGGATGGGGGTAAGGGGAGATGGGGAGAGAAAAGTTAGAAGGGAAGGAGGTCGGGCCTTGGGAAAACAGGAGGATTGGGATAAAGGAAGGTTGGACAGGGGAGCACGGAACCACAATTCTTAGTTAAAGGAGCCACTTTAGGGTTGGCAAGAGACCTGACTCTATAGGGGCCCCCAGGTGCCCAAGCCGAGGTCCCCAGTTAGTTCCTTGGGCAGTTGAGGATAGGGAACCTGAAATGACCCTATCCTAGAGCAATACTGACGAATATCTTGCATATCATCATAGAACCTTCATCTGGTGATGGATGGAGATAGAGACAGAGACCCACACTGGAGCACTGGACTGAGCTCCCAAGGTCCCAATGAGGAGCAGAAGGAGGGAGAACATGAGCAAAGAAGTCGGGACCACGAGGGATGCACCCACCCACTGAGACAGTGGAGCTGATCTATTAGGAGCTCACCTAGACCAGCTGGACTGTGACTGAAAAAGCATGGGATAAAACTGGACTCTCTGAACATGGCGAAAAATGAGGGCTGATGAGATGCAAAGGACAATGGCACGGGGTTTTGATCCTACGTAATGTGATGGCTTTGTGGGAGCCTAGCCAGTTTAAATGTTCACCTTCCTAGATATGGACGGAGGGGGGAGGTCCTAGGACTTTCCACTGGGCAGTAAACTCTGACTGCTCTTTGGACTGGAGAGGGAGGGGGAAAGGAGTGGGGGGAGGGGGAGAAGGGTGGGAGGAGGGGGCATAGGGTGGGAGGAGGGGGAGGGAAATGGGAGGCTGGGAGGAGGTGGAAACTTGTTTTTTTTCTCCTTTTCTCAATAAAAAAAAAAAAAGAAAAAAAATAAATAAATAAAAATAAAAATGCCGCTTTCTGGGCTGTCCTGCCAGGGCAAACTCTGACTCTTTTAC